GCGTCCAACTTACAATTTAAGTAGTTTATTTTCTAAGTCTTTGTTTCAGTTCAATTCCCTTTGCAACTTTTGTCTTATTTTCTCATTTATTTATCTCAGTTGTACGAATGCAATTTATTTATCTACCACTTTAAACCCAAACACTCAAACAATCAGTCTATACTTAATACTTAGTCTATGATTTTTGTAGCCGATCCTGCAAGTAAACTTTAATAAGAGGCTAGAGATTGTTCGTCGAAAATCCATGCGAACACTTTCCTACATGTATTTATTTTAATTTAGTTTATTATGTTTTAATTAATTTTATTATTTTAATTTATTTATTTTATTATGTTATAATTAATTTTATTTTGTAACATAACTGGATTCACGAGTATTTTCCAACACTTGGAAGAAGAGGAGACAATTGGATACCAGCTAATAATTGCGGTCTTCCTCAAGCGATGAGATGATACTATAAGCAAGGAGTCCTGAAGGTGAATGACTTGCGACCTATTTTGGATGAGTTGACACCTGCCGACGTCATATGGCATTCATTCGAGGATCATAGAGTATGGTGTCAATTTGATAAGTTATGTTTGTATGTGGGGTGTCTGAAATAGGGTGATACAATTGTTTCGTACTTGCCTGACAGATGTATACGTCAGTTTGGATACAGGAAATATATTCTACCCCACCTTGTGATTATATGATGGCTGGTGATATTGATGTTGAGTGGATTGGTTACCATCAGAGCGTCATTGATGTGATCTGCCCGACAACACTAGCCACCACCCCATTTGATACAAATGATGGATATCTTAAGTGGTATTATCGTGTTTCACATCCTCATTTGGTACCTCCCCCTTGTGATGCACCAAGAGAGGTGCCAATTGCTGTTTAGGATGCAGGACCATCCAATCCTAGTTGGACTCGTGTTTCTACATTGATTCATCATTATCTCCAACAAGTTGATGCTAATGAGGATGATCCATGATTTACTGAGTTATTTGAAGCTTTATGTATTTCTCGTTCACATTGACTTATATTTATGTTTATGTGTTAACTTTTAGACTTATTGACCTAGATGGGATATGTTTATGTTTTTTTCATTTGTATTAACTATTAAACTTATGTTTAATTTCTCACCAGTTATGTGTTATTGAGACATATGAAATTAAAACGGAATGACTTAATTGATGGTTCATGTTTTGATTACACATTTATGGTAATACATGTGTAAGTTGTTGCTAATGTTGTAGACGTGTTGCAAATTCTAACATCCAAGATATTGTTGTTGGAGAACGAAACTTCTTCCAATCTAATGTAACTGGTGGCAATGGAAACCTTTCTTTCATGTTTACCTGAATAAAAAAAATAATCAAAACATTAAGTCATATATTTAATAAAATAAACAAAATAAAGTTAGTCATATATTATATGCAAATAACTAAGTACCTGAACCCAATAATCTTGGTTTACAAAACTAATGCAATAAATGGAGACATTTGGTGAATATGAACTTGTCATAGGGAAGAAAGTCATGCACATATTGCCTAAACAGACAAGTACAACATTATAGTGATTCACTATCAAGTAACCCATATCTGGTAAAGTCAACCATTTTTGTGGTGGTTAAGGACTAAATGCCTCTATCATCAAAGTTTCTCTCACTTCTGCTAACCGATTACCAAATAAGCTGTCATACAAACTTAATCTTTCCTTATGTGTTATTTCCAACCCCAAGTCTTGATGAACCATTGGCCAACTATCTTCACCATATCCATGCAATGAAGCAATGACTCTAAATCCGTAATTACCATCTGATACAATATTAATTACATCTTCAATATATTATATAATATGATTAGGAAATTGAAGGACGAACTGCTTCTTTGACTGTGACTGCTTCTGTGATGGTTGAGATTGCCTATGTGAAGATTGTGATAATTTCAACTTCTTCGAAGCCTGTGATGCTTAAGATTGCCTATGTGAATATTGAGATGCTTGATCAACATACTCATGATATGAAGGGCCCCTATAAATACCATACCCTACTAGTTTTTTTTGTCTTTCTTCGTGACTCCCCATTTGGTTTTTACTTTCTCAGGTGGTGGACACAAAGAAGTCATTTTGGGGTAGACAAGTTCACAAACCCTACTTTTTAATGCCCTTTTCCAAACAACATCTAGTAACCTGAACCTTTTCCGTCATTTATATATTGCACTACTCGTATCCACCTCCGATCCATTATCTACATCTACCTCCAACTCAACTTCCATACTTAGTTTCCTCCAATGAACATCACAACATCTATTGGTATCGGTATACCACAAAGTCTGCATATTCTTAACCCACAAGCACAAGGTAGACCATATGATGTTTTAAGAGTACAACCACAGATTTTTCTGTTAGTTCCAACACAATCAACTCTTAATAACTCTTCAGCAATGCGTCTCAAAGTAGCTCGAGACACTGAACCACACAAATTACCATAAAATGGACTTATGTGCACGTGCTCAACTTCATAAAAACTTTTTTGAAAAGAAGCTCTAATGTTGTCCAGTTGTAACTTTAAGTTGTTATTCATAACCTCCAAACATTTAACCATGTCACCTATAATATTCCCCAACATCTGCTTTAACTTCCAATGAGTAGACTCAACCCTAAAAACAATACATATTAAAAGTACTTTAAAAAATACAAATTACAAATATACAATTTAAAAATACTAAAAATAAATACATAGTAAAAAATATTAATAAAAAGATAAATACCAATTAGTCGTGGTATTACCCAAATGTAACACTCAATTAATTCATGCTCCAACAAATCTCTGTCTATATGGTTTCAACCATGTGTCTTTCACATATTTATTAAATTCATTACAATCAAACACGCCTGCTCAAGTTGTTGCAACTGTTGATCATACTCAACCTTATCACTAACTCATACGACTTCCACCCATAATATGTTGATCGTCTTTTGCATGTCATTAACCACATATTGCTTGCATTTTGCACCAACATTTTTGTTAATATAAAATTGACATGACAAAATGATCGACCTTGGAAACACAATTTCAATTGCTTTCATCAAAGCAAGATCTCTATCTGCCAAAATCACTTGTGGACATAATCTTTCTTCACAAATAATTGTTTAAGTTTACCTAACGCCCAACAAAAATTCTCAGTCTGTTCAGACTCCATATACGCAAATGCGATAGCAAAAGTCAACTTGGTTGATGTCATGCCAACAATTTCAAACAGATGTTGCCTATATTTGTTTGTCTCGTAAGTGTTGTCCATAACTAACACAAGAGAAAAAATATTCAACAACTTAACTAAATTTGGATGGGTCCAAAATATCTCTCTCACAACTTTCGAGTCATCTTTTTTTCTACTCCAATAAACATAATATGCGTCCTCAAAAAGCTTAAATAAATGTTGTATCTCACTTCTAGGACCTCTTATCTCTTTTTTCATCATACTCTTATGCTTATATATTTGCGTGATTCGAGTGACATTCTCTGGATCTCGCTCTTGCAAGGAAAACAATGTGTTTATGAGGAACATGTCTCTTTGTCAAATCAACAACATGCTGCTTCTGATCCGCGATCAACCTACCAATAAAGAAGTGCCATTATAATCTATCAAGTAAACCATGGTTATGAACTCCACATTTTATATCGACCTTCCATCCAAACCCATTTTTCGCCAGAGTCGGCCTGATTTTAAATGGACATCCGTATGTTTTCGTCACACTTTGCATTCTACTATCAATATCCTTGTATTTCCCACCTTTATCATAACTATATATTAATTTGTTACTTCTTCTTCTCTTGCCTGTTTCAGTGTCGAACGAGTGATAATAACAGTTACGTTATTTTGGATTCCAACCTCTTAAATCTACCTTATCACCTCTTCTCGTGTACCGAATATTTGAGTGGTTGAAAAAATATCAGAAGTATCTACACATATATGTTTTTTATCACATATTTGTGGAGGAATTTCCATACATGCAGTATAACAAAATTGTAAAAAAATACATTTAATAAAGCAAACTGAAAGTCTTAGTAAAAGAGTTCTAGTATGCAAAATTTATACACCGGCCAACTAGCTAAATGTGTTCCGGTACACAAAATTAACCAACCAGACAACTTACATAAAGTATTCCGGTACAGTTCATGTTTTTGCCACAAAATCGAAATTATTTTGGTAAGACTTTCGATACAAGTTTTGTGATAAACCAGAACTTTTTGGCTAAGTCTTCCAAGATGAAAAAATAACATACTAGAAATTATGTAGAAAGTCTTCAAACGTGACTATGATTGAGTGTAATTTTTAAGAGTCTCAAATAAATAGTAAAAAGTAAAAAATAAAATAATTAAAATAAATCAAAATAAATTTGATATTTTAACTAAACGTAGGGATATCAATATAACTATAGAGATATGATATAAAATTTTCCTTATTATAATTATGATAAAATATATATGAAAATTAAAAATATGCATGAAAATTGAAGTCTATTTTTTCCTTAAATAATTGCAAAATAAATAAATATTTATTTTTGAAACTAAACATATTTCTTTCATTTACCTACCAAAATAAAAATAAAAATCAGCAATTCAATATAATAAGATTCAAAATATCCCTTAGCAAAGAAGATTTAAAAATACAATGTGAACGAGTAATTGCTAAACGCGTTATTTTTAGTAAATTAATTAAGAATCTGTCAATATTTTTGGTAAATTAATTAATAAGAAAAATAACATTAAATAAAATTAGTCACACCTTATATATTACAATGGTCCACATCACAGAGAATCATACCACTGAATCATAACCACTATTATAAATACAGAGCACGCTCTTCCCGCCGTTTCATACAGAAGAGAGTGTTTTTTTTTTTTGTAGCGAAGCGTGTTTTATGATCTTCAAGATAAAACCCTTCTTCAATCGCAAACCCTAAAACACTTTCTCACTCTTTTTCCCCTCTCTTTTTCACCCGCTTCTTCAATGGAACTCCGTCCTCGTCTTTCCCTTCCCGATGATGTGGATTCCGGTGACTACATCTTTCTTACCTTCTTCTCATTTATCTGTTTGTGGTTTGTTTACTTTGTTTCTGTATAGTCGTTGAGAGAATGTTAAGACTTCCGAAACGTTTGGGTTTTTCGGTTATTTCAGTGTTTATGTCGTTTAGCCTAATGTTTGGAATGAATTCTGAATCTAGATAGTAAGGGTTGATGCTCAATTGTTGTGATTTTAATGCAATTTATTGTCTTCGGTTTGGCGTTTTTCTTTGTAGTGTGGAGTTGGGGGTTGTAATTTTGAATAAGGTGTGCTTTTTGTTAATGTTTGCTGATTACTGATTGCTTTGGTTTTTTTTTCATGTGTGTATGAATTAGCGGCTGAGAAGGGGAAGCAGCCGATGGACGATTCTGATGGAAAGGGTGGCAGTGACTCTGATGAAAGTGATCTTGATTGGTTTTTCAAATCTGATTCTGATTATGAAGGTAAATAACTTTCATAAATCAAAATTCAAACTGTTGCAAACTGATGACCTTTACATTTTTTATTTTATTTTAAATGCTAACTGTTGCTAGGGTTTGTAACTAACTTTTCGTAAATCAAAATTCAGTTACTCCTATCATGGAAAACTCTTTTACATTTCTATCAAAGATGTTTTGAGTACGATCTTCAATGATGTGGTAGTCTGTTTATGATTCTAGTTAACTTATGATTGGAACCTGAGTTAGGAGTAAAATTTACTAGATGAAAATTGAAAACATTTTACATAGATTAAAATTTTTCTTTTGAAAATTCAATGCAGCTGAAGACGTTGACAAGCACTTAAATTTTGACTTGAATCAAGTCCCAACTTTAAGCGCAAGTGATTCTGATAGTGATTCTTTAGCTAAAAAGATAATGGCACTGTCTCGAAAGAGAGGAAGAGAATCCCTGATAAAAATCGAAGACCTGTGTGAATTAGAGAGAGAGCTGGAGCACGGTGATGAAGCTCCAATTGATTCACCTAAGAAAAAAAAGCAAAAAGCAAATAAAACAAAAAAGGGAGTTCCTAAGCCAGTGCTGTTATGGCATGCTTGGAGAGATGAACATGATAGATGGATTGATCAGAATTTGTTGGAAGATGTTAACTTAGATCAAAGTGAAGTGATGAATGAGACGGCTGAGGCATCGCTAGATCTGATTGTTCCTTTGCTGAGGTACCAAAGGGAATGGTTAGCTTGGGCTTTGAAGCAAGAAAGTTCTGTAAGTAGAGGAGGAATCCTCGCCGATGAAATGGGTATGGGGAAAACTATTCAAGCAATTGCCCTTGTCCTTGCTAAACGTGAATTTCAACAAATGAGTTGCGAACCAGATGAACACCCACATTCACCCGGGTCATCTAAAGTCCTTCCTGCGATCAAAGGAACCCTTGTCATCTGTCCTGTGGTTGCTGTTACTCAGTGGGTTAGTGAGATTGATCGATTTACTTTGAGAGGAAGCACCAAGGTTCTGGTTTATCATGGGGCAAAGAGAGGGAAGAGTGCCGAACAGTTCTCAGAGTATGATTTTGTAATAACAACATATTCTATTGTTGAATCGGAGTACAGAAGGTATGTGATGCCTCCTAAGGAGAAATGCCTATATTGTGGAAAATTATTTTACGAGAGTAAATTAACTATTCACCAGAAGTACCACTGTGGACCTGGCGCTATTAAAACTGAAAAACAATCAAAGCAAACAAAGAAAATGAAAACTGGTCAGAGTTCAAAGTGGGATGGAGGGTTGAAGGAGGGCTCTATCAAGAAGAAGAAGAAGGAAACATGCTCAAGCATAGAAGACAATGAGAAGTCATGTCTCCATGCTGTTAAGTGGCAGAGGATCATATTGGATGAGGTCAGTTGGGATAATGTAGGATTATGGTTAAGATATAATTAAATTATACTAGTTTCATTCCGAAAAATATTATTTTATGAAATTAAAGAATCATTTTGTATTCTTTCCCTATAAACCAACATATATTCACTCTCTTTCTTGTATAACTATGCCTAATTAAACTTTTATTGTCATCTGTTATCTCCAACTTATTGTTATAGAAAAATCAAGAAAATAGTATTATGACTCGAGCTTAATATTTTGACTACGTAACTATATATCACATTTCTTATTGTGTTATGTATTATTACAAATATTATATTAGGCTCGGACATTTAACTTTTTGATACTTCAATGATTTGACTTGTTTTTTTCCCCATGAATAGGCACACTATATAAAATCTAGGCATTCTAACACTGCAAAAGCAGTTCTTGCTTTAGAGTCTTTCTACAAATGGGCATTAAGTGGCACGCCTCTTCAGAACCGTGTTGGAGAACTATATTCTCTGGTAAATTGCCAGTCTCTTTGTTAGTAATTTATTCATTTTGTTTATATATATATATGATTTGTCAAATAAAGCAATTCCTAAATGCTGTTAGATGGAGAATTAGGAATGTTTTATATAAGCTTATTATCTTATCCAACATAATTGAAATACAATGCCATGTATGCAGGTACGATTTCTGCAGATAGTTCCTTATTCCTATAACCTGTGCAAGGACTGTGATTGCAGGACACTTAATCATAGGTTTGGCTTGGCTTACAATCAGTATATTCAATGCACTTTTTGGTTTTTAATTTAGCAGGCAGTGATTTTAATTAGGGACTCAATTTAGTACTAAGGGTTTGAAAGGCTTTATGTATCTAGTGTCATCTGGGTTCTATTCATGTTCCAACTTTGCAACATTGTGGTTTCTGTAATATATGACTATCTTTTTTCTGCTTTCAAATGCGTAATCAATATGCCCAAGTGTTTTATCTGTTTGCATGCTTTAATTAGGAAATTGTTAGGACACTTAGTTGTTAGCTAGGAAGACCTAGAAAAACTAAAGAGAAGTTATTAAGAAATATCTCGAGATTAACGATTTGGATAGAAACATGGTCTTGAATAGAACATTATGGTGGAAGTTGATCCATGTAACCGATCCCACATAGGGGGATAATGCTTGGTTGTTGTTTATTATCTCATATCAATAAAAAGACCAATTTGAATTTGAAAGACTTGATGTATCTAATGTCCCCTGGGGGCTCTTCAGGTTTCAAATTTGCAATCTTGTGGTTTCTGTAATATACAAATATTCCTTTATTGCTTTCACGTACTTAATGAATATGCCAAGTGTTTTTTCAGTTTGCATACTTCAATTAGGAATTTTGTTAGGACTAAATTGTTTACGTTTTTCATTACCATTAATTCATTGTTTACTGATTATATTTGCTATATCTGTGCTCTTCTGCAGCTCTTCTAAACAATGTTCAAATTGCCCCCACAGTTCTGTTAGGCATTTTTGTTGGTGGAACAAAGTAAGTTCTGCAGTTTTTGGTCTTTTTTGGGTTCTACATATTAGAGTGAGTCAGAGTGAGAAGTCCTATTCCTTGTAATTTTATACAAGATGTTTAGCTGATGTTTTTATTATATGTTAAAACTTCATCAGAATATTGCCACACCAATTCAATCGTATGGATATGGTGATGGGGGGAAAAGAGCTATGATATTGCTCAAAAACAAAATTTTAAAGAGCATAGTGTTAAGGCGAACTAAAGTTGGCAGGGCTGCTGATCTGGCACTTCCTCCCAGGATCGTAAGTTTTTGTTTCCCATTGTCTAAATTTGGATTTCTTCATATGGAGAGACTAATTTATTCTACAACATATTTACCTGCAGGTATCATTGAGGAGGGATAGCCTAGATACAAAAGAACAAGACTATTATGAATCACTATACAATGAAAGTCAAGCACAGTTTAATACGTATGTCAGATTCTTTATCTTACTCCCTAGAATATGGTAAAATACAGTTTTGTATTCAACAAAATTGAAATGTGTTTGACATGAATGACATTATATTTGTTTAGCGGTGTTGAATTTATGGATCAAATCACCAAGTTGCGAATCTTCAGTGGTTCTATTTATTCATGAGGGTTGTCTAGTATCTTTATAACCCCATAAGCCTTGAAATCTTCCTTTAGAATAGTGATACCATGAATTTTTTTTTGAAATTAGGGGTTGAAGCTGTTCTTGTCTATAACAACACAATTGTTCAAATTACATACATGATACATGAGTAATGAGTTATATAAGAGAGGTGAGGTGCATGAACATAGTAATAGTATTATTGCACTATTTCTTGAGTTTGCTTGTTGCGGGAGAAGGAGCAGCGAACAATTTCACACGATTGCATGTCTCGTTGATCCCGCTCCCACATCCAATGAGTTCCCCACTGCGCCGCATCAGTAAACGTGAGATGATGTGTGAAAGCGTGCTATCTCACGATATTTCGCGCGATCTTGACAACATTTGGGACTAAATATCTTGTCTATTGTTATGTAAGGAGAATGTACATATATATAATCATGAGTCTCCCGATCAATTCCGATAATTATAGAAAGGACCAAGAGGAAAGATTAAATCAATACAAAAAGACACAATCACCCAATATCCTAATGGGTACTAATCATAATTTTAAACATTTCCCCTAAAGGTGATGCATCATCATGTCATATGCATCCATCTTATCACATAGGTATGTAATCCAAGAGCATTCTTAGAGATTTGGCAAGGATATCAACAACTTGGTCCTTGGAATTGACAAAGGAGGTTCTGATGATTTTGGTGATAGTCTTATCTCAAAAAAACGCAACAATAAACTAGATTGGAAGAGAGGCGCAAAGTTGATTCTTAGAACTTGAGTTGGGCCTAACTCAACATTAAAAAACCAACTTGTAAGGTGGCAATTTCCCCTCCTTTTAAACATATGGTGTTCAAGCCATCTCTCATCCAATGTGAGACTCTTAGCACACACCTCTCACGCCTAGGGTGGTTACATCTGGAGTGTGATCCGAGTGATCCAATATAAGAAACTTGATAGCAAGTGTTCCAAAGGATCTTGGACAAACTCTGGTATCATCTTAGAATTTAGATTGGGCCTTATTCAACCTTATAGAAATGACTCGTAAGGTGAGCATTACCCTCACTTTTAAACATATATTTAAGTCATATCTCATTTAATGTGAGACTCTTTACATTAACCAATTATTACACAAATTCCATTGGACCAAATTTACACTAATGAAGGTCATGCAATAAATGCTTCAACCACAAGAGCTCACATGTGGCATGAGCCATAGTTATCATACTATCTTAAAATTTAGGTTGAGCCTAATTCAATTCTACTAAGTCGGCTTGTAAGGTGGCCTTAAAAACACATACTCAAACTATCTCTTATCTAATGTGAGACTCTTAATAACAACAACGCATATGAGGTAAACATAGTAATGGTGCTTATTACTACACTATATCCAAAGCAGATAACCTATATATTATTATTATATGTACATGTCAAGAATAAGATTTTTTTTCTCACAAGTTACAAACATAGGATTAACTGGTTCTAGATTTTCTTCACGCTCAATGGTTTATGGTTAATTTTTTCATTTGTCGACCCACCATTTTACCTTTACATAAATTCAGATGGAAAATTAGAAGGGAAAAACTGATAGGAGCCATCGTGAAAGTTATTATGGAGGTTACTTTATATTGGAATGAAGTCAAGCGTTAAACTGGAAAATATTTGTGGACACCAAAAGCTGCCATTTACTTTATAGACAATAATAAATTAGTCTCTCTTGCATATTCTCTCTTTCTATTTTGATAGCTGTATACAAATGTTTAATTTATGAAATGCCAACATAAACAAATCCTAGCATGATTTTTTTTTTAATATAAGCATGGTTTTATTAATATGCTTTCTCTTTTGCAGGTACGTACAAGAAAATACTTTGACGAATAATTATGCTCATATTTTTGACCTCCTCACACGACTACGCCAGGTGAATTGATAAGGGGACATAAAAAATTGTATACTTTTGCTGTGGTATTGATATTTTTTCATGCTTTAAATTTGAAGACATATTTAAAGAGTTAAATATGTTTGTGGGCCCCTCTAAATATATCAACTTTCATTTTTAGCGTCTTTAAACATTTTCTTCCAATTTTGGTCCTCTTAGTTTTTTGTGATCTATTTTAGTGACTTTTTTTGGCGACATGCCATTGATAAAACTAAAATATCATTAGTTTAATAATTTGTCAATTTAATATTCAATGTTTTCTTTTTAAACTTATTAATTTATAAATATAACAACTTGTTTACATTAATGCATAAATATAAATAAATGCTTTCGGAAAGATTGAACTATAGACCAACAATTTATACTCATTTAACTTAGCTAGCACATATCAATTGAGCTGCCCCACCCACCCGTATTCAATCTTTTATTATTTTATCTATATCTTCAAATTAAAGAATCAATTGTTAAACTACAAATTAAAGAATCATTTATTAAACTAAAGATTAAATAGTTACATTATTAAATTAACGATATTTTAAAATTTTAATAATGACATGTCATTCAAAAAAGTCATTTGGAACATGCCACTTGAATTTTTGTTAGAAAACAAATATTAAAATTGGTAACAGAACATTTGGAGGGATTTTTAGAGGGATTAAAAAGGATAGCTGGTATATTTAGCAGAACTAAAAACATAATTATGGAAATTTTTCTAAGTTTTTAACACTCATAACTAAAGTATCTCAAGTTCTTGTATTTCTAGTCATTTTAACATGTTTCTAATTTTTTTTATATAGTTTTTCCATGCTGATGAATTCATTTAGAATCAACTTTGTTGTGGAAATTAAATTTGTAATAAAAATATATAGCCTGAACTTGAGCTTACACTTACAGAATACAAAATCATTTCAATAAGCGTTTCATTAAATTTTGTTATTTTTCAAATTAGAAGCTGTTACAAGAACAGTTGTCATAAAAATTGAATATGCACTATATGATGTACATTCAATAGTTTTATTTTAAAACCAAGTGTCTTGTTTGAAAGATGGTTATATGCTTTATGCTTTATTTTGAACTAGGAAGTAAGCTTCCTTATTTTCAATTAAAAATATGTTTGTACTCTTTTGTCTCGGGAAGGTGTATGTGATCTTCTGCCACAGGCTTATACATATCTGGCTTAAACATACAGGCTGTGGATCATCCTTATCTTGTGGTGTATTCTCCAACTGCAGCAGCACTAAAAGGAGGGAACTTGGTTAGTAATGGTAATGTTGAAGTAGAATGTGGCCTTTGTCATGATATAGTTGAAGATCCTGTGGTTAGTGCATATCTTTTCTTTTTCTAATTAAACTTTCATTTTTTAAAATGCTATATAGAAGTTCCTCTGCTAGTTTTAATGTGCTACTAATTTTCCTTTCCTTTTAATTTATTAATTCAGGTTACCTCTTGTGAGCATACTTTTTGCAAGGGATGCTTGATAGATTTCTCTGCTTCCTTAGGTCAAGTATCATGCCCCTCATGCTCTAAGTTACTCACTGTTGATTTGACTTCCAACAAGGATGCTGTGGTTCATAAAACAACAATTAAGGGGTTCAGACCTTCTAGCATTTTAAACAGAATTCAGATTGAGAATTTTCAGACAAGTACTAAAATAGAGGCATTGGTATGTATAAATCTTTTCTTAAATGATACTATATAAGATTTTTATCTTTATTTCTGGCAAGTATGAGTAGTTCTACTAGCTTTGGGTTGGTTTTTCCTTTTACCCCCAAGATGCAATCGATCAATAGATTGATGCATGTTTGAACAAATTTTGATTATCTGAAGTGGGGTATTGGTGAAAAGTTGAAAGTTCAGGCCATGTGAATAAGGTCACAGGTTTAAATTGTGGAATCAATCCCTTGTAAATGGGTCTTACCTTTTCCGGAACCCCGACACTGCAGAAGCTTTATATTATTAACACCAAGCATCCTTTAAAGGGAATTTTAGTTATGTTATTAGGATTTTGTGCTTACAAAATTATCAGAGCTTACATATGTATTGAAAGACAATGCAGTTGAAATTCGGGAGGGTGGGTAGAAGTGAGTGAGTTGGGGTGGGGAAAACGACTGGTTGTATGACAAAGCATCAGCTGGAAAAACTGTTTTCTTACATGGCAACAAAAAAAAAGCTTTTATTAGTTGGTGTATATTCTGTCATGTGCTTCTTTTTTTACAATGTCTTGTAACTCTTCGTCTACCTCAACGAGTTTAAAATGGTTGTAGAGAGAAGAAATTAGATCTATGGTTGAAATGGATGGTTCTGCAAAAGCTATTGTTTTTAGCCAGTTCACATCATTCTTGGATCTCATAAACTACTCCTTGCAAAAGGTAAATTTACTTCACTTTCTATTTATTTATAAATGGAAAATGCATCGGGATGATGACACGGTGCACTAATTGCAGTCAGGTGTATCTTGCGTTCAATTGGTTGGAAGTATGACATTGGCTGCTCGGGATGTTGCCATTAAGAAATTTACCGACGACCCAGACTGTAGAATTTTCCTCATGAGCTTGAAAGCCGGAGGCGTTGCTTTGAATTTGACCGCAGCATCTCATGTGAGTAATCTTTTTTTTGCATGATTATTGATAGAATAGATAATATTCTTGCCATTAAACATAATTATTTTTGTAATTATTTATAATTATTTTCATTTATATCTGTCATTACTCATAAGTTTGAATAACCTATTGTATTATATATACTCTTGATCAGATGAATAAAAGACAGACAATTATATTATAATAATATTCTCTCTTACATGGTATCACGAGAAAACGCATTTCCAGCGTGACCTTAGCACCGCCGCCGCCGGTTGTTCTACATTCTCACCAGGCCGCCGCTGCCACCATCAGGCTTCACTAGCGCCGCCCACTTCCGCGCTCACGCTGCGAACCATCACTCTGTCCTCTGTTTGCCGTCGCTGCCTTGGTTCTGTTCTGGCAAAATCTATTCTGAACCTGCATCTGTTCTATTCTGATTCAATCATTCACTGTCAACATGTCTTCCGACACTTCCATGTCATCCTCCGCCGCCGCCTTTTCAAATGCTGCAATGTCTTCCTCTACTACTGCTCCGGGGAAATCCGATTTTCATCCGGCCCTTGCCGTCACCAATATCAAAAATAGAATTCCCTTTGTGCTAGAGATGGAGAAGGATCACTACACCATGTGGGCTGAATTGTTTGAGGTTCATGCTCGTGCCCACAAGGTTATCGACCACATCATTCCTCAACCCGGAAAAGAGACGCCCGCTTCCACTGATGCTAGTTTTGAAATGTGGACAATCCTTGATTCCACGGTTCTTCAATGGATTTATTCCACCATCTCTCTTGATCTTCTTACCACCATTATGGAAAAAGGATCCAATGCCATGGCTGCTTGGAATCGTTTGGCTGATATCTTCGAGGATAATCAAAACTCTCGTGCCGTTGCCCTTGAACAGGATTTTTCATCTACTCGCATGGAGGATTTTCCTAATGTTTCTGCGTATTGTCAGCGTCTCAAGCAACTCTCTGATCAGTTGAAGAACGTTGGAGCACCAGTCAGTAGTCACCGGTTGGTCCTTCAACTGGTGTCTGGACTATCTGAGCCATACCGTGGGGTTGCAACCTTGATTCGCCAGAGCAACCCTTTGCCATCATTTTTTCAGGCTCGCTCCATGCTCACCTTGGAAGAATCCGGTTTGGCAAAATGCACAGCACTAGCTCTCCCACTGCATTGCACACCGCCATTCCATGGGACTCAGATGATTCCCCCCAGCAGCGCTCCAATCGTCGTCAGAATAACCGCTCTGGTTCCGGCCGTAACCGCAATAATCAGACTCGCACCGGAGGGCGTGGACAGCGCGGTGGTTCCCGATATGATGGTCCGTCATGGACCCCTCAGCCATGGCAGCAGCCCCAGTATCCACCATGGTCTTCTTGGGGTTGGACCCCACCTCCTTGGGGTGTACCTCCTTGCCCTTATCCTACATCTCAGTGGACTCGTCCCACCGGTCCTTCGAAGCAACCAGGCATTCTAGGCTAGCATCCCCAGGCTCACACTGCCACAGCTTCACCAACTCCCACTGACATTGCCGCTGCTATGCACACCATGTCTCTCACTCCTCCAGACAGCACATGGTACATGGACACTGGAGCTTCATCCCATACAACGGCATCCCAAAGTAATCTCTCGTCTTATTCTAATTTGAGTCCTTTAAATCAGAAACTGATTGTTGGCAGTGGACAAGGCATTCCAATTCAAGGGTCCGGTCACACAAGCCTACCTACATCTCACAAACACAAAACCTTAAACCTTAACCATGTTTTACACACACCAAAAATTATTAAAAATTTGATTTCTGTGCGACAACTTACTACTGACAATAATGTCTCTGTTTCGTTTGATCCTTTTTGTTTCACTGTATTTGACTTTCAGACAGGATTCCTCTCATGAGATGTGATAGTCATGGCGATCTCTACCCCGTTACCTCTCCTTCTCACTTTGCTGGTCTTGCTTCCAGTCTCTGGCACAATCGTCTCGGTCATCCCAGTTCTTCCACTTTGCAGTCTCTTCATAGAAATAAGTTCATTCGTAGTAAAAATTTGAGTTCTAAGACTATTTGCAATTCCTGTGTGTTTGGCAAACATATTAAGTTGCCCTTTGATTCATCCAAAAATGTTATTTTAATGCCTTTTGATATTTTACACAGTGATATCTGGACATTACCAATTTTAAGCTCATCTGGTCATCGGTATTATGTTTTATTTTTGGATGATTATTCTGATTTTCTGTGGACGTTTCCGATAACTAACAAATCTCAAGTTTTTCAAATGTTCACTTTGCTTTCTAATCAAATTCACACACAATTTTCTCAAACCGTAAAATGTTTTCAATGTGATAATGGGCGCGAATATAATAATACATTATTTCAGAAATATTTGTTGATAATGGTCTTATTTTCCGTTTCTCTTGCCCTCACACTTCATCTCAAAATGGCAAAGCGGAACGTAAAATACGCACCATTAACAACGTGATTCGCACTCTTCTCGCTCATTCGTCTGTTCCTCCCTCATTTTGGCATCACGCTCTTCAAATGGCTATTTATCTTCTTAATATCCTTCCCTGAAATAATCTGTCAAATCACTCTCCTACTCATCTTCTGTATCATCGTAATCCCTCCTACACACATCTTCGCGTTTTTGGCTGTCTTTGTTATCCTCTACTTCCATCCACCACCATCAACAAACTACAACCACGTTCGACCCCGTGTGTCTTCTTAGGGTATCCCACTAATCACAGAGGCTACAAATGTTTTGATTTGTCGCATAGAAAGATCATCATCTCTCGGCATGTCATATTTGATGAGACACAATTTCACTTTGCTCACATGCCTTCTCCACCTCCCACCACCTATGATTATTTTACCGATGACCTGCACCCATCTATTGTCCATCAGTGGACCAATCCTTGCAACCTCTTTCCGATGACTTTCCCAGTCCGCCACCCGCTATACCTGACCCTCCATCTATCTCACCCGTCGGGTTCCATAATCCTTCTCATGCCTCCACCACCACCACAACATCCTCTTCCTCCTCTACGGATACCGCCGATGCCTCCCCATCATCTACACCATTGGTCCAGCCTGCACCTCTCACTAGGACTATGGCCACCCGTAGCATGCGGGATATCTACAAACCCAAAAAGCTCTTTAACCTTTCTGTTACCATTGATGATCCGACCATCTCACCTTTTCTCAAAAACTCCAAACTAGCCATATCTGACCCTAATTGGAAAGCCGCAATGCAATCTGAATTTAATGCTCTTATTAGAAATAATACGTGGGATTTGGTTCCACGATCTTGTGATGTTAATATTATTCGTTGTATGTTGATTTTTCGTCATAAAAAGAAATCTAGTGGCTGTTTTGAGCGTTACAAAGCTCGTCTTGTAGGTGATGGCAGGTCACAGATTGCAGGTGTGGATTGTGATGAGACATTCAGTCCTGTAGTAAAACCGGCTACCATTCTCACCGTTCTCACAATTGCTCTGTCCAAATCTTGGCCCATTCATCAGCTAGATGTCCAGAATGCATTTCTACATGGTGACCTTCATGAGACAGTTTACATGCATCAGCCACTTGGTTTTCGTGATCCTCATTGTCCAGATTATGTGTCGCTTGCGAAAATCACTCTATGGTCTGAAGCAAGCGCCTCGTGCCTGGTACCAGCGTTTCGCTGACTTTGTCTCTACCATTGGATTCCAACATAGCTCCTTTTTCATCTACCGACGTGGCTCTGATTTGGCTTACATCTTGCTCTATGTTGATGACATCATCCTCATCACCTCCTCCCATGATCTTCGAAAATCCATTAGGGCACTTCTTGCCTCTGAGTTTGCTATGAAAGATTTGGGTCCACTGAGTTACTTTTTGGGCATTGCCGTGACCAGACACGCCAATGGGCTCTTCCTTAGTCAGAGTAACTATGCTGGTGAAATTATTGCCCGAGCAGGCATGGCCTCGTGCAAACCTTCTGCTACACCAGTTGACACCAAACAAAAACTCAGTACATCTGCTGGCACTCTGTACGACGATCCTACCTCATATCGAAGTCTTGCAGGAGCCTTGCAGTATCTCACTTTCACCCGTCCACTTTCACCCGTCCTGACATCTCTTATGCTGTTCAGCAGGTGTGCCTTCACATGCATGCTCCTTTCACCGACCACATGCTTGCGCTCAAACGCATCCTACGTTATGTTCAGGGCACCCTACATTATGGTTTGCATCTCTATCCATCCCCTATTGAGAAACTTATCTCCTATACTGATGCTGATTGGGGTGGATGTCCTGACACCCGCTGTTCTACCTCCGGCTATTGCGTATTTCTTGGTGAAAAACTCATTTCCTGGTCTTCTAAGAGACAACCCACACTTTCTCGCTCCAGTGCAGAAGCTGAGTACAGGGGTGTTGCTAATGTGGTATCTGAATCTTGTTGGCTTTGCAACCTTCTCTTGGAGCTTCACTTTCCACTCTCTCTACTTTGGTGTACTTTTGGTGTACTGTGATAATGTTAGTGCCATCTACCTATCTGGAAATCCGGTACAACATCAACGCACTAAACATATTGAGATGGACATTCACTTTGTTCGGAAAAGGTCGCTCGTGGCCAGGCACGCATCCTTCATGTTCCCTCCCGTCACCAAATTGCCGACATCTTCACCAAAGGCTTACCTCGTGTTCTTTTTGATGATTTCCGGATCAGTCTAAGCGTCCGTGAACCTCCCGCTTCGACTGCGGGGTGTGATAGAATAGATAATATTTTTGCCATTAAACATAATTATTTTTGTAATTATTTATAATTATTTTCATTTATATCTGTCATTACTCATAGGTTTGAATAACTTATTATTATTGTATTATATATACTCTTGATCAGATGAATAAAAGACAGACAATTATATTATAATAATATTCTCTCTTACAATTATGTCAACCTTTTGGTTTTCTACTGTTTAATTTCAGTTGAGTTGTGTGAAGCAGCCAGAATTATGTTACTCGTGGGTCATTGTTTGTAAAAGTTATGTATGCAGTCTATTTTCTGAATCAGTTCACATGTTACAGAATTCTATATATGATTAGATCTTCATTATTGGAGTTTTTAGCGTTTGTTGAAGATAGTTTATCCCTTAATTGAAATTAGATGTTGATAAGAATTGGAATTAGATGTTGATGTGAGAATTGAATCACAACTAGGATATTCTCCTATTTATAGACTGATTTCAAATAACTGCCAAATGATAAATGGCTACATAAGGTCGTTTGTCATTCTTAAGTTGGATTTCTCACGGGGTTAACGCTTTGTTTATGGCTCAATCTCAGGTTTTTCTCATGGATCCTTGGTGGAACCCTGCAGTTGAGCGTCAGGCTCAAGACAGAATTCACCGTATAGGGCAATACAAACCAATCAGGTACCGCATCTTGCACACAAATTGAAAATAGTAGAAAAACAGTGAAGTTAATAGAAGAATATATTGGTGGATTCTTTTATTTTGAAGTTCCAACATTACTTCTGTGTGCAGAATTGTGAGATTTGTCATTGAAAACACAATCGAGGAGAGGATCTTGAAACTTCAAGAGAAGAAGGAATTAGTATTTGAAGGGTAAGTTTGAATTATAGGTGCTCTGCATATTTTGCCATAATAAATAATGACATATCCTTTGTTGTCCTTCCTTTAATAGGACTGTAGGTGGTTCTTCAGAGGCTTTAGGGAAGTTAACGGTGGCCGACTTGAAATTTCTCTTTGTTACCTAGGCTGGCTATCTTGACAGGAAAATTTGTTGAAACTCCCTGGTATACATTTTTTGATAATATACATCATGTTACTTCCATGAAGCTTAACAGAATGTATAAGCGGTAAAAGCATTATCTGTAAATAGGTGAAGCTCCCCCGAAACATGAATTGGGGTGGTGAAGTATTTTTTTACTTATCAGTTTGACTATATTTGATTTACTATTCTTACTATTTAACTTAGAGACCTTCTATCTATATTTTCAAATTGTTTAAATTTATTTTTCATGTCTTTTTCTACTTTTAGGTGTTATCTCAATATTTTTTTATTGTTATTTTTAATTCTATCTCGTTTAATTTTATTACACATTTAGCGGAACATCTTATTTCGGTTTTGGTAGCTCACCTTTGTCGGTAATATATTCCGAGGAAAAGTTCTTTCACCTTAAGTTGGTATTTTCATAATACACTCTTCTATTTCAATCATCCAATTTGATGGTCTGCATCTTTTTCTTTTCTCCGCTGTTTTGTGCAATAGATTTAACATATTTACACTGGTATGATACGGTGTTTTACTTTCATCTCTAAATTAGAAAAACTAGAAATGTTTTGTATTTTGTTAAAATTCCATTTCGTTTATTCCTTCGTGCTTTTATTGAGGCGGAAGTTACACATACCCTTTAAACTTTAAAGAATCGTCTTCAAGTCTCTAACATCCTGTTTAATTTCTCTTTTAATTCTCCAAGTAGAATCATATCTGCAAAATATATAAAATTTAGAGCTAATTTTCAAATGTGTTTAGTAAGTTCATCCACAATTAAAATAAAAAATAATAACCTATTTATCTTGTTTCCTCTCTAGGAATTTGAATAAAATCTCTCTATGGAGTCTATCTTAAGACTCATACAAATAATTGAAAACTAAGTGCAAATGTTTTTGTTCTATCTAATACCATTTCGTCTTTCATAATTGATATCTGAGACAAAAATCAAATTCATTATAAGTAGAGAGATATTCTCTTCTCTCTAGAAAACCTCCCCCTAAAAGATATTCTCTTCTCTCTAGAAAACCTCCCCTTAATTTTTAGGGTTTGATGGTGGTTACCTACTGCCTTCGGGGTGGCTTTCTTTCATTTTTAGGGTGGTTATCTCTCCTATGATGGGTATCCTTCAATCCCATTCTCATGTTTCTACTAGAGTTAAGTCATTTATCAGAGACCCTTCATTTCCAACACAAATATCTTTCAAGCTGCCTCTCCTTCTACACACGCGGTTGTCGCCAGAGCCATCACTGCTAAGAGGTGTACTTCTATTCGCACACCGAGGTGTACTTCTATTCACACATGCGATTGTCGCCAGAGCCATCACTGCTAAGAGGTGTACTTCTATTCACTGTATGTGCTCCAACATCTTTGATGTTGATAATTTTTCTCCCTCCCTCAAAACCGTCATAGATCTTCTATAGGTTGTAGTTTATTACTTTATCAAATCTATCTATTTCTGTTTTAGTGTTGTTTATGTTTTTTTTCTTCTTTTGGAATATAAGTCTGCACGCTAAGTGATTGATAAAAAGCCTTCAAAGAGTTTTATGTCTTAGAACAAACACTATCTCTAATCATCAATTAACCTTTAAGCATTTGATAAAAGTGGATAATATTGAGATTAAGGTTAGTTGTAATGCGCAAGAATCATCCTTAATTGGATTTGGAAAAATACAATAAATTCTCATTTATATACGGCTACTATTGGTGTTTTTAAGATAATGGATGGATGAATGATATATGATTGTTTCTTGATTGATTGTATCTTTTTAGCTTGTGATCAATGTTTAATTGTATCTTCGTAGTTTGTGATCAAACTATATTCAATGTCTCTTAAGTCTATGTAATTTGAGTCAATGTTTTAAAAATCATATCGTTCATCGATCCAGTCAAATTATTAGATCACTGAGTTATTGGTCGGATGTCATTGGATCACTGAGTTATTGGTCGGATGTTGTCATTGATCGAACTGCATGACTTCTAATTTAATTTATATAAATTAAATAAATATTCATGAAATAAATTTTTTAACATAAATTTCATATAACTCTAAAATCTAAAAAAAAAATCTATGAATTTTTTCATGTTAAAAAAAATTCTAACATTCAAACATAACAATTCATTGATGCTTATAAAGTAACACATTTTAAAAAGTAATTATCTGATATAATCCTATCGTAAACAACTATTATGTTTTATATAAATAATTACAAACAAAAATATATAAATAAAAAAGTTAGTAAAAATAATATGACTTTTACTTAAAAATAATAATGAAATTTATACTGAAAAATATGAAAATTTAACTCCAATGTCCTTTGGTAACATAAAATTGTTTTTTCTTTTAATTAATGACTTATAATAAAACTATAATCTTATTTTTCTTTTGTAACATTTTAAAAACTTTTTTATAAATATAATTTTATTTTTCTTTTTTAACATTATTATTAAGCTAAAAATTAGATTTTTTTTCAAAACATTTGTTAATAAAGTTGGATTTTAAAACAAAGGTACCAAAATTTAAAAAAGAAAAAAAATAGAAGAATCAAATTTATAATTAAGTTAAAAAATAAATATAAAAAATCAACTTGTCGAAATAAAAATTCATTCGTACACTGGTCGAATCACTAAATCAGCCGAATCACACCGTTTTCACTAAGTCAATTGCAACTATGGTTTGATGAATTTATCGGACCATTTTATCTTCTGATCCACCATCTTAACCAGATCGATTGGCCGGAACAGTTAAAATTTTAAAACACTAATTTGAGTATTTTTTTTAGTCTCTTCAATCATTCTTTTCTATAATTCTATGACATGACTCATAAATTTAATTCTCTTATAATTTGAACAAATTTTATTCTTATAGATTAGAATTGAAATATATTTTTTGTTTTCATTTTTCTGACATTTTCTTCCATATTGTAATTTTGTTTAAAAGGATGGTGGACTACTTACTTAGAGCACATATACCGGAAGCGACTTTCATATTTTAAGCCACTTGTGTCGGAAAATAATAATAGTTAATTACAAATGGAGTGGTTTGATAGACCATCGTGGCTGCAGTAAACCACCGTGGCTTTGATGAATTTTTATTCTTTAATCAATGGTTTTATATTTTTTTAACCACATTATGGGATTAGTGAGACTCAATTTAAAGTTTTAGATAAATTGTATGGATATTTAAAATATACAATTCAGTTATTTAAATAATTGAGAAGTGTGAGAAAACATATTATATTGTGTAGGGTTCATTTATACTACCAAATTAAATGGCATAGATAAACGTCTAGGTGCTAAAATAAATCGGTTATTTAAATAATTCATATTCATATCTAAATCTGATTATTAAAAACCGATTAATTATTAATATGTTTTTAATTAAATCTATATTTTAGATATATTTTTAATATGGTTTTAACCAAATCCATAACTAAAATAAAAACCAAATTAATCAATTTTTTTAATTAAAAAAAACTTGAAATTTTTTTTTTAAAAAAAAAAATTTATTTTGAAAAAAAAATTAATTGTTTTTGAAAAAAAATATTGTTTAATTTTTTTTTCAGTAAATAAAATTTTTTTCCAAAAAATTTTAAAATAACTATTGTTTTTTTTTTAACATCAATCTATTTTTTTAAAAAATATTATGATTTTGAAAAAATCAATTTTAAAATAAAATTAATTCAAAACTAATTATAAATTTGATTATGCATATAACCGGTTAATAACAATTTTAAAAGATAAAATCCAGTTATGAGAATTGATTTTAATAACCGGTTATAACATGGATTATTTATGGTTATGAATTGGTTATGGACATTAACCATCCATGAGCATCCCTATGAACGTTCTTATTTTCAAGTTTTTTTTACACAATTTAATATTTATAATTTTGATTTTCTCTAATGTCTAATCTATCAGAATTTGACAAGATATCATATCTTTCATTAAATAAATTATAGATATACTTATTTCGTTATCATTTATACATTTTATTAAACCAATATTTCACTTTTCTCACTTTAATTCACTTCTTTTAAAATAAGATTATGACAATTGGATTCTTCGTTGTCGTTAGGGGTTGACCATCCAGACCATGTAGAGATTTTTTTATGGCAACCCTTTGGAAATTAACTATCATGTCCAGATCCACATGTGCTAAACGATAGTCCCATGTCTAGTTTGGACTTTGTAGAGAGTGATAGTCATCTTGAAGCAAGGGAAGTCACTACTCACATTATCTCCCTCGCTTGAGCTTATTCGAATCTCATCATTGTTTTTCCTTCCCAGCAAGAATGTTAGACTGATTGCTCTATAAGGCCCCTAGTGATAATAACTAGATGGGTTTCTTTTAACATAGAGACTATGGTTCATACTGAATTTTATGATCCTTCTGTCAATCCAGATAGTGATTTATTTTTCATGGTAGTCAAGCAACTATGGTGCGCCAAGAGAACTACGATGAGGCGTCAGATGCCACTCAGTACCTGTGGGCAGATTCATAATTTCTAGGAATAACTTCCAACCTTAACACTCACTAGCATTAAAAGTGCTTTCATGGATGTAGGCTTGTCCTTCGAATGATTTGTTTCCCCTGTTGACAATGATAGAAGAATCTAAGACTCCCTTTCACCAAGTTTGAGAAAGGGGTGTTTGAGCATATGCGTGCGAATTTCCCCCTCTCAACTCCACAATATTTCTTGGTCTTTCATCAAGATGTTCCAACATTAGTATGAGTATAAGAGTAAATAAGTTTCCGCTTCAGCGAACCACTTTTTTCATATTTTCATGGTCTCCTGCACCATTATGAAAGAAGGTCATGGTCAGGGGTTGATTTATTTGCGCCAGGCTAACAAAATCTTCAATGTCTATATTAACAGTTGGAAGTACTTCAAGGATCATTATTACCTAGTGTCCCCCCTTACCCGAGCCGCCCATTCCAAGTTTTTTCGAGTTCCGATTTGTAACTCCGCCTCCCTGCCA